ATGTTGCCTGGTATGACAGAGTTGGGAAACAACCCAGTTATCCTGGTTCCCAGCTCCCCTGCTCTCACCCACCTGATCCCACTCTCCTCCCACAGGTGGGAGAGAAACCAGGCATTGAGGCTCACCTCTCCAATCTTCTGCACCAGGTTCTCGGTGGTGTAGCCAGAGTAGGTGGTGCTCTCCACAGCCGGCAGCAGGTAGGGGGGCGAGTTGCAGATCAGGATGCAAACCTTGTGGGTCTGGCCTCTGCATCATGGGGGAGAGATAGAAGGACAGAATCCATTGGGCAGGGCTGACCAACTGATGGAGACTATGCATCACAGCATGCCGTGCTCCAGTCCCAGGGATGAGGCATGCTGGGAAACTGTCTTCCTGTTGGCAATGGGAACTGCACATCTGAGACCCTGGGGTCCAATGCCTACCCCCCTTTAGCCACTCTGAAGCCATGGCCACCTATATGGGACCTCTGCTGCCCCCCATACCCAGCCCCGACACTCACATCTGCTCCCTCATCTTCTTGAAGTCATCGAAGAGCTGCAGGGCGGTGCTGAGGCCCTCAGCAATGAGGCTGCAGCTCTCCCCGCCCCCGCCCACGAACCTGGGAGGGGAAGGAGACAGGGGGCTCAGTGATGGGGCTTGACTCACTGGAGGGAACCTGTATCTTCCCAAGGGTGGGATAGAACCCATGTGTCCTGGCTCAGACCCCCTGATCTAATCCACCAGACAGACCCCTTCACCCAGAACCTGGCTAGAACCCAAACATCCTAGCTCCCAGCCCCTTGATCTTACCCACCATATTCCACTCCCCTCACCCGGGCATCCTCGCTCCCAGACCCCTTCCTTTCTCAGAGCTGGGACAGAACCCAGGAGTCCAGGGTTTCCCAGCTTTCATGTCCCTGCCTCCCATTCTTCAAGGAGAACTGGGAGGCTCCAACTCACCCCCTATCTTGGGGTCTACACCCTACAGTCCACTCCATCTGCCCTGCAAACCCAGAACTACCTGCTTTACCACAGCACCCCCACAACTCACTGGATGCTATCAAGCCAGGTGACGAACTCATAGGCGCTGCTGGTTGGGGCATGGCACTGCACGTATGACTCTGGGGCACAGTCCACAGTGTTGAAGACTACCAGGCTGTACTGGGTACCCCCATACTGGCAGACAGAAGGGGTAAGGCATATCAGGAACCCGGTCACATCAGGGGCCCCCAGCACTCCCCTCAGCCCCTACACTCCCCAAGGGATCCCACTGTCATAGGTGAACCTAGGAATTTCAAAGG